TTTCCATCTATATCATACTAATGTGGATCCAAATGCTCTACTGTGATTAATACCAAGAAACAATAGACCATCTTTCAGGATGTTTTGACCGTAAATGAATATAAAAAATCGTAGTTAGAATAATAATACTTATCTGGACAATGGAAACACTTTGGAAAATGTGTAAGCAAACACTGGTATGAACATCGGCCAGCGCCGGTTACAAAAATAGAACCTGTCAAAATTCTATGGGATTATTCCATCCACACAGACAGAAAAATTGAAACAAATAGGCCGGACATTATTGTCAAAAAACCAGAAAGAAAAAACTTGCCTACTAATTGATATGGCAGCCCATGCGGATTGTAACATGTAACTTTGGAATTTGAAAAACTATCAAAATACAAAGACCTTGAAATTGAAATTTCAAAAAATGGGAAATTGAAAACAAGAATAATACCAGTTGTAATAGGAGCACTTGGAATTATAAAAATGGTTCAAAACAACACATTGAAAGAATTCCTGGTGGCCCCAGCTTAAAAGACATACAAAAAATTGTCTTATTAAGTACAGCACAAACTAAGGAGAACTTTATCTGTGTAACGCTAGCAACTGATCATCGGAGATTTTTTTTTTAAAAAAAAAAAATTAACATGAAATGTCAGCCAAACAACACACCACGACCTGCCTTAGGTCTTTCCGCAGACTTGGTAGGTAATGTGTCCATAACATAAATAATAATAATAAATATAATAATAATAATAATAATAATAAAACAATATTAAAACCTCCTTAATAAATAACAGTCCCTAATGAAGTATTTTTGAAGATATTCAAAAAAGCTTTTAAAAACAAAAACCTGAAATAGAAATCTAAAACATATGGGGACAAAATAATCCCTAATTGTGATGAATCCCTAGAATTTGTTGGAAAAGATTGAGAATAACTAATTGAAAACTTTCCTAAAATAAGATTATTATAAGGAGATTTAAAAATTGTTCTGACAATAGTATGTTTTAAAGGGCTTTATCTGTTTAATAGTTTTTTTTTTTTTGTCAAGGATGTAGATCCTGATGTCATTTCTAACCTTGTTCTTGTTCGGGACCCGGATAGAAAATCAAACCATGAAATTCAAAGAAAATAATCGTTGCTACGACCTAATAATAATCTGCATTCTATGGAATATGACCTTTTATAATTTTGTTTTAATTATAGACATTTATTTTAACAATTTTCTAATTATTTTATCATTTTTAATCGTTTTCGCAGACAAAATTTTTCTCCTTTGATATGGCATCGTTTTCGACTTGCATTTTGAAGATCTTCAAAAAGCTATCAAAATCGTTTTCGAAATCTCAAAAAATTTTACATGATTTTGAATCCCTGTTTTTGGTGCCCTCGAATTATTTTTTATTCATTTTAAATGAAGTTTTCCTGAATTATTTTTAAAGATTTTGAAAATTGTTTTTTAGCCCGCAATTATTTTATCCATTAAATTTTTTCGTTTTCGAATTTATTTTACCATTTCTAATCGTTTTCAGAATTATTTTTAAAAGACACATTTTTAATCGTTTTCGAAACTATTTTAAAATAATATTTTGAATCGTTTTCGTTTATTTTTATCATTTTAAAGAATCGTTTTCGTATTATTTTATTATTTTGAATCGTTTTGTAATTATTTTTATCATTTTGAATCGTTTTCGAGCCATTTTTCCTATTTTGAATCGTTTTGGGATTAATTTATTATTTTGAATCCTTTTCGGATAATTTTTATTATTTTCCCAAGACGCAGAGACAGGAACGACCAAAGCTGCCCTTGTTACTATGTGTGTTTGACCTGTCCGCTGTCCCCTACCAGGAACGAAGTTCCGGGCGCTCTCTGACACTACTTTACACCCCCCACCGATATATAAGGGTACTTTATATATATACCATATATATATATATATAGTACTACCTGGCTCTATATGATTAACTTCAAACGAGAACCGGTTTTTCAGCGTGATTTGACCGTAAAAACTACTACTACTAGTTATAATAATAATAATATCTGCACTGGAAGTTTTACGGGAGAGAAACTGGTATGAATATCACCCAGACCCGGTTACAAAGATAGAACCTGTGAAAAATTCATGGTCCTTTTCAATACATATAGACAGAAAAATCACAACTAATCGCCCAAACATCGTGATCAAAGATCACAATAACGTGTTTTATTGTTGACATGGCAGCCAATGCAGATTGCAATGTATCTTTGGAGATCTTCAATAAACTATCAAAATACAAGGATCTTGAAGGGGGAATTTCAAAATTGGGGAGCATGAATCAATAATTCCAGTTGTAGTTGGAGCACTCGGATTGATTGGAAAGGGTTCCGATATACTAATTGAATGGATTCTTGGTGGCCCATGCCTTAAAGAAATACAAAAAAACATTCACTCATTACAAAGAGCTTTATCTGTGTCAAATGTGTCTGATCTTCGGGATTTTTTTTTACAAAAATGCTCAGTGGAAAATATCAGGAAACCTTTTCTGATCCTAGGTCTCTGTCTGGTACCTGGAAGGAAATGAATATACAACATACATCAAAGTAAATAAAAATAATAATATTAATAATAATAAAACAGATTAAAACTATTAATAAATAACAGCAATAATGAAGTGTTTATGAAGCTCCCGTCTTTTAATAAACAAAAATGACTTAGTGTAAAACTAGTAATAAAATAATCGTAATTATGATGAATCTATGAGAGTTGTGGTAAAATGAGAGAATAAGATAAAACTTCTGATAAAATAAGATTATTATAAGCCTAGATTTAATTATTGTTAATAATAGTATGTTTTAAACACATAATCTGTTTGGGACTAGGGTGATAATCAAGTAATGTAGATCCTGTTATTTAATACAGTGTTCTTGTTCGGAATTCTGCAGAATCAATCCATGAAATTCAAAGAAGGATGGTCGTTGCTACGACCTACAAGCTTCATTCACTCAAAGCCCTTTTTTAATACTTTTTAATTATGTCATTTATTTTTAACCATTTTCTAATTATTTTTATCATTTTGAATCGTTTTCGAATTATTTTTTATCATTTTGAATCGTTTTCGAATTATTTTTATCATTTTGAATCGTTTTCGAATTATTTTTATCATTTGAATCGTTTTCGAATTATTTTATCATTTTGAATCGTTTTCGAATTATTTTTTATCATTTTTGAATCGTTTTCGAATTATTTTTTATTATTTTGTCGTTTTCGAATTATTTTTATCATTTTGAATCGTTTTCGAATTATTTTTATCATTTTGAATCGTTTTCGAATTATTTTTATTATTTTGAATCGTTTTCGAATTATTTTTATCATTTTGAATCGTTTTCGAATTATTTTTATTATTTTGAATCGTTTTCGAATTATTTTTATTATTTTGAATCGTTTTCAATTATTTTAAAATTTTGAATCGTTTTCAATTATTTTTATCATTTTGAATCGTTTTCAATTATTTTATTATTTTGAATCGTTTTCAATTATTTTTTATTATTTTGAATCGTTTTCGAATTATTTTATTATTTTGAATCGTTTTCGAATTATAAACTACTAGTTACTATGCAATTTTTGATTTCCCTGTCCATACTGTTTCTCTCTCTTTATATATATAAATATATATATATATATATATATATATATATATATATATATATATATATATATATATATATTATATATATATATACATATAAATATAATAACTAATCGTTTCGAAAAACCCTCGAAAATTTGATTTGCTAATCAAATGAATCTCGATCGAAAAAAAAAAGAAAAAAGGAGCAATAAATGAATGAATAATCGAAAAAAAAAATCGCAAAGATGCAATAAATGAAAAAGAAAAATCGAAAAAGTAACAAAATAACAAAAAAGCTCAATAAATGAGCAAAAAACCTAGATCACCTAGTAAATGAATGAATAATTTCACCTAAAAATCGTCAGAAAATATCCATAAATTCCTGAATAATCCGTTTAAAGAAAAAGAAAATAGGTTTTGTAAATGAATGAATAATAAAAATAAATATATATATATATAAATGAATGAATGAATCCAGTGCACTTCAATAAAATGAATTTCAATGAATTTAATCTAAAAAAGAAGATAAAACATGAAAAATTCTTGAAAAGTTAAAAAATAGATGATGATGATGAAGATGAATGATGAAGATGATGATGATGAAAACAACAATAAAAATGATGATGATGATGATGATGATGATGGTGGTGGCAGCAATAAAAATGATGATGATGATGATTATGGTGGCGGCCGCAATAAAAATGATGATGATGATTATGGTGGTGGCAACAATAAAAATGATGATGGTGCTGTTGATGATGATGATGATGATGATGGCTTAAAAACAGATGATGATTGTAGTGGTGGTGGCAGCGATAAAAATGATGATGATGGTGTTGTTGTTGATGATGATGATGATAAAAAAGAAAAAAAATGATGATGTAAATGGGATGCACTGTAGGCTAAAAACCCACTTTTATCAATTGAGTGAAATCGGTGACGTCACGGAACAAAAGCAGACAAAGTTTTTTTTACTCCTCAATCCTTCGAATGAATTTCTAACGTTTGTTCAAAGAAAGAAAATATCAATAAATTCCCCATTTCCCACGTTCTTCTGCATTTTGGATCTTTAAAAAAGATTTTCCCCCATCCATATTTCCCGAACATTCGCTCGCTAACCCACACCCCTTTCTTAATTGATTCTGACGAGAACGTCTTGGTTGAAACGTCGTAGAACGAATTTAAATAATAAATAAAATAAAATAAAAAAATACTATTCGCTTGTGGAGACTTTCAGGACGATGGGACAATTGAAAATGGAGATTTTGAGGGAACCCTAAGACGAATGACGACACTGAGTTTATGAAAAAGAAGGAATAAGGAAGATCAACGGAACGAGACAAGAAAAAAAAAGAAAAGAAAAAAAAATAGAAAAAAAAGGCCAAGTTAAAAGTAAAGCAAATCTAGAATGCAATTCGAATAGTAAAACGAACAGAAATATATGAAAAAAAAGAAGGAAATAACGAAAGTAGGAAGAAAGAAGAACCGAATTGCGTAAAAGTAAAAAAAAGGTTGGTAGAAGAAAAAATGAAAATTAAAGGGTATGACGAAATAAAGAAATAGAATGAATGAATGAATGAGTAAGAAAATATCAATAAATGAATGAATAATCGAAAAAAGAAAGAAAATATCAATAAATGAATGAATAATCGAAAAAAGAAAGAAAATATCAATAAATGAATGAATAATCGAAAAAAGAAAGAAAATATCAATAAATGAATGAATAATCGAAAAAAGAAAGAAAATATCAATAAATGAATAAATGAGCAAGAAAATATCAATAAATGAATGAATAATCGAAAAAAGAAAGAAAATATCAATAAATGAATGAATAAGCTAAAAAAGAAAGAAAATATCAATAAATGAATGAATAATCGAAAAAAGAAAGAAAATCTCAATAAATGAATGAATGAATGAGTAAGAAAATATCAATAAATGAATGAATAATCGAAAAAAAAAAAAAAAATATCAATAAATGAATGAATAAGCTAAAAAGAAAGATTATCAATAAATGAATGAATAAGCTAAAAAAAGACGAAAATATCAATAAATGAATGAATAAGTTAAAAAGAAAGAAAATATGAATAAATGAATGAATAAGCTAAAAAAGAAAGATTATCAATAAATGAATGAATAAGCTAAAAAAGAAAGAAAATATCAATAAATGAATGAATAAGTTAAAAAAGAAAGAGATTATCAATAAATGAATGAATAAGCTAAAAAAGAAAGATTATCAATAAATGAATGAATAAGCTAAAAAAGAAAGAAAATATCAATAAATGAATGAATAAGCTAAAAAAGAAAGATTATCAATAAATGAATGAATAATCGAAAAAAGAAAGAAAATATCAATAAATGAATGAATAAGTTAAAAAAGAAAGAGATTATCAATAAATGAATGAATAAGATAAAAAAGAAAGAAAATATCAATAAATGAATGAATAAGCTAAAAAAGAAAGAAAATATCAATAAATGAATGAATAAGCTAAAAAAGAAAGAAAATATCAATAAATGAATGAATAAGCTAAAAAAAAAGAAAGATTATCAATAAATGAATGAATAAGCTAAAAAAAGAAAGAGATTATCAATAAATGAATGAATAAGTTAAAAAGAAAGAGAATTATCAATAAATGAATGAATAAGCTAAAAAAATGAAAGATTATCAATAAATGAATGAATAAGCTAAAAAGAAAGAAAATATCAATAAATGAATGAATAAGTTAAAAAAAAAAGAGATTATCAATAAATGAATGAATAAGCTAAAAAGAAAAGATTATCAATAAATGAATGAATAAGCTAAAAAAGAAAGAAAATATCAATAAATGAATGAATAAGCTAAAAAAGAAAGATTATCAATAAATGAATGAATAATCGAAAAAAGAAAGAAAATATCAATAAATGAATGAATAAGTTAAAAAAGAAAGAGATTATCAATAAATGAATGAATAAGCTAAAAAAAGAAAGATTATCAATAAATGAATGAATAAGTTAAAAAAAAAGAGATTATCAATAAATGAATGAATAAGCTAAAAAGAAAGATTATCAATAAATGAATGAATAAGCTAAAAAAGAAAGAAAATATCAATAAATGAATGAATAAGTTAAAAAAGAAAGAGATTATCAATAAATGAATGAATAAGCTAAAAAAGAAAGATTATCAATAAATGAATGAATAAGCTAAAAAAAGAAAAGAAAATATCAATAAATGAATGAATAAGCTAAAAAAGAAAGATTATCAATAAATGAATGAATAATCGAAAAAAGAAAGAAAATATCAATAAATGAATGAATAAGTTAAAAAAGAAAGAGATTATCAATAAATGAATGAATAAGCTAAAAAAGAAAGAAAATATCAATAAATGAATGAATAAGCTAAAAAAGAAAGATTATCAATAAATGAATGAATAAGCTAAAAAAGAAAGATTATCAATAAATGAATGAATAATCGAAAAAAGAAAGAAAATATCAATAAATGAATGAATAAGCTAAAACAGAAAGATTATCAATAAATGAATGAATAAGCTAAAAAAGAACGAAAATATCAATAAATGAATGAATAAGTTAAAAAAGAAAGAGATTATCAATAAATGAATGAATAAGCTAAAAAAGAAAGAAAATATCAATAAATGAATGAATAAGTTAAAAAAGAAAGAGATTATCAATAAATGAATGAATAAGCTAAAAAAGAAAGATTATCAATAAATGAATGAATAAGCTAAAAAGAAAAAGAAAATATCAATAAATGAATGAATAAGCTAAAAAAAAGAAAGATTATCAATAAATGAATGAATAAGCTAAAAAAATGAAAGATTATCAATAAATGAATGAATAAGCTAAAAAAGAAAGATTAAAAAATGAATGAATAATCGAAAAAAGAAAGAAAATATCAATAAATGAATGAATAAGCTAAAAAAGAAAGATTATCAATAAATGAATGAATAAGCTAAAAAAGAAAGAAAATATCAATAAATGAATGAATAAGTTAAAAAAGAAAGAGATTATCAATAAATGAATGAATAAGCTAAAAAAGAAAGATTATCAATAAATGAATGAATAAGCTAAAAAAGAAAGAAAATATATATAAATGAATTCAATAAGCTAAAAAAGAAAGAAAATATCAATAAAAGAATGATTAACGTAAAAAAGAAAGAAAATATCAATAAATGAATGAATAAGCTAAAGAAGAAAGAAAATATCAATAAATGAATTCAATAAGCTAAAAACGAAAGAAAATATCAATAAATGAATGAATAATCTAAAAAAGAATGAAAATATATATAAATAAATTCAATAAGCTAAAAAAGAAAGAAAATATCAATAAATGAATGAATAAGCTAAAAAAGAAAGGGATTATCAATAAATGAATGAATAAGCTAAAAAAGAAAGAAAATATCAATAAAAGCTCGAATGAATAAAACTTCAAAAAAATTGAATGTAAAATGAATGAAAGAACGGAAAGTAAAAAAAATACGAAGCGAATGAGATGAAAAAATATAGGAAAAGTAGAATAGAAATGAAGAAAAGAGACGAATAAAAAAAAAAGAGAAGAAAACTTTTGAAGAAAAAGAAAAGAAAGAAAAGCACACGCACAGATATGGAGAAATATGTACAAAAATAATATTATTTGAAATTTTTTTACATTTATAGGGAAAGTACGTATGGATATATAGACAATGTGGTCATAGGAATCAACTCTGCATTGTGACTGTCCACTTCACGCCTCAAGTGACAAACGATGGTGGTGGCAACAATATTTTCTATGAAATTTATTGGACATTCAGGCCGGTAAATCTTAAAAACGCTTATTATAAACAGACCATTTAGTTAAATATTTGTAACTATAAAATAAAATATAAACAGAAATATATATATATATATATATATATATATATATATATATATATATATATATATATATATATATATTTTCTGTTCTTTCTCAAAATTGTCTTTACATTCTGATTCTCTGATATATATATATATATATATATATATATATATATATATATATATATATATATATATATATATATATATATATATATATATATATATATATATATATATATATATATATATATATATATATATATATATAGACACGAGCTATGAGAAGCCACGTATACTTTCTTTATATGTATATATAGAAAAAGTTGCAAATTAAAAAAAATAATAAGTATTTATTTATTTATATATATTTGATATTTCAGATTGACCTCAATCTTTCTTCAGAAATAACCGTTTTAGAGTTTTTAATTTTAATGTTTTAATTTGCAACTTTTTCTATATATATATATATATATATATATATATATATATATATATAAATCAAGGAATCAGATTGTAAAGACAATTTTAAGAAAGATCAATATATATATATATATATATATATATATATATATATATATATATTCTTTCTTTCTCAAAATTGTCTTTAAATTCTGATTCTCTGATGTATATATATATATATATATATATATATATATATATATATATATATATATATATCAGGGAATCAGAATGTAAGGACAATTTTAAGACAAAGCAGGGAGGCGCTGACGTGCGACACCAGGGAGTATTTGATCATTCATTTGAGTGGTGGGGAGCAACGATGTGGGCAAGTGGACCACCGGGGAACAACGCACCGTTGTACGCTGTCTGTGCGGAATTCCATCGCTGCATGTTGCTGCAGTGTCGAGCAGGCACCATGAATCAACGAAAGGCATATGAGTTGTGTAGAACGCTTTAAAGTGAGAGGATAAGTGCAATGAACGAAAGTCGACCTGGTCGTCCTTCAACATCGGGCACGGAAGAACACATCCGGAGAGTGGATAAGTCGATAAGAGAAAACTGACGAATCCCCTTAGCATCACAAGTGGCGGCAATCGCTGGCATCAGCTATGAACCTACACAAGCGATATTGCATGATGACATGGGGTAGCATAAAGTGTGTGGGCGTTGTGGACCCAAAGAAATAATCAGCGGAGACCTGGTCTTGTCAGCAACCGTGAAGCTTCTCTTCTTCGGAATGGACGTAGACGCTCGTCGATCGATATCAGAAGTGCATATGCGTTTTTTTTTTGGGGGAAGGGGTGCATGTCGAAGAAGGACACATGCATTTGTTCTTTATCACTGAAAATAAAGATTTTGTATGGAATTTGCCGTTAATGGCTACCTTCTGACGACATAATTACATTTACATACTAGCTTTTAGAATAATTTAAAATATAACAGCTCAAACCTATCTAAAAAGGTAACACAATAAATCCAATATACCTCACCTTGCTTCCTATAATCTCCCATTGACCAGTATAAATAGTCGATCTACAAGGAACACACATGGAGATTGTGTTAAATCACGTGAAATGAGGAATCCTTATATCGATTCAAATATTAGGTTGGTGCAAAAATAATGTCGTTTTTTGACGTTCAACTTCAAAAGATCATAACTCCTTTCATAATAAACTTTATTAATCGAAATAAGAACCATTAAAATCGACACATTATTGCCAACGAGAAACAAGTTTATTTATCCCATTATCGAGATGCTTGAAAAAGTGATAATCGGTGGGCGAGAGGTCCGGCGAATATGGCGGATGAGGCAGAGTCTCGTAGCCCAATTCGTTCAGCTTCTGCAGGGTCAGTTGAGCAACATGCGGGCGAGCGTTGTCATGGAGGAGAATTGGTCCCTTCATATTGACCAATCTCGGGCACATACGTTGGAGCTTCTGGTGCATTTCGTCAATTTGTCGGCAGTACTTCTCCGCCGTAATCGTTTCGCCCGGATTCAAGAAGCTGTGATGGATGAGACCGGCCGCAGACCACCAAACAGTCACCATAACCTTTTTTGGTGCAATTTCGGCTTCGGGAAGTGTTGTAGAGCTTCTCCGGCATCCAACCACTGTGCCGAACGTCGCCGGTTGTCGTAGAGGATCCACTTCTCATCACACGTCACAATCCGCTCGAGAAATGGGTCGTTTTTGTTGCGCAGAAGGAGCGTAGAAGACACCTCAAAACGACGATTTTTTTTATTATCGTTCAATTCATGCAGCACCCATTCATTCAACTTTTTTGACTTCCCTATTTGCTTTAAATGGCGAACGATTGTTGCGTGGTTGACCTCGAGTTCAACAGCAACTTCTCGTGTGGTTTTGTGAGTATCGGCTTCAATTAAGGCGTTCAAATGTTCGTTATCAACCTCAGTCGGCCGGCCGCGACCGTCTTCATCTTCGAGGCTCTCGTCACCATTACGAAATTTCTTGAACCACCGTTGTGCCACACGTTCGTTAGGGGTTCCTGGGCTAAACGCATCATTGATATCACGAGCTGTCTCGGTAGCTTTTCGGCCTAGTTTGAACTGGAACAAGAAAATCGTGCGGATTTGAATTTTGTCCATGCTGTCGAAAAGCCTGAATGAATGAAGAGATTGAGAACGGTAACGAATAACACGATTCGATATAGCGAAAAACGCGCTTCAAAATGATATATAACATGGCTATATATATATCAATGAATTAATTCAGAAATCATATATAAAAGTAACATATGTGAGAAAACGACATTATTTTGGCACCAATCTAATAGTTCTTCAATTGGTCTAATACGAATTTACTCATCTCTCGTGTTTATTGTGTTCTAGAATTTCAAACTCTACTCTGAGGAGGCATCCGCTTACTCTCTCATATATACCACATCTATCGTTTAAGCCAGTGTCTACTTGGGATTGTCTTCTGGCGAAATGAAAAGAGGAACACATGGCACCTCAAAGGAAGTTTCGACATTCTGAAACAGAAAAAAAAAAGACAGCCATAGAGCTTTGGAGAATATCAGTGGCGGATCTACATTTTTGGAAAAATGGAAACACTCGAGACATATACGTAAAAATCATAGAGACTACCAGGGATAAAGAGCCCAGTCTGCCCAGGTATTTAACCCATAGCTGGGGGAAGATGGATATATGCCTTTTCAGTGAGCATTAACACAAAGTAGGGCAAACAGAATCGACCAGAATTTGATCTCATATCAGTGAATTCACTTTCCGCACATCAGCTTTACGGCCATATCACGTTGATACACCGGTTCTCTTACGATCACTAAAGTCTAGCCTAGTCCATACCAAAATGGGTGACCGCTTGAGAACATCAGAGGCTATAAGCTTGGATGTGCGGCGGGTGGTGTAACAGATAACAGCTCGGAATTATTAATCGGAGAGCCGAGATCCAATTCCAGTTGGGTTCCTTATATCCACTTACGAGCAAATAATCTTGGGAAGGATACGAATCCACCTCTTCCCCCCTACTATGGATTAATTAGTAAGATTTGTATCACAAAACCCTTATTATTATTATCTCCAAAGAAGAAATTCTTACACTTTAAAAATATTTTCTGGCTTTAAATAACCTGCAAATTGTTGATAAGACGTAGAAAATCAATTATTTGTTATATATACCTGTACATTTTGGCTTCGAAAGAAGAAGAAGAAGAAGAAGAAGAAGAAGAAGAAGAAGAAGAAGAAGAAGAAGAAGAAGAAACAACAACAACAACAACAATCATAATAATAATAATTTTCAGGCCGTTTTCTTAGGCCCGAATGAACTAATATGTTTGGATGGGAGAATTAGAAAATGAATGAGCTTGCACAAAGCCGTTCATCGCATAGATGGTATAGATAGGCTCAATAGGACAGAGAAGTGAAAAAGACCCGTCACCCATGAAGATTGGGATGACACAGTTATCAATGGACTGGCAGACGACATATGGCCAAGTAAGGCAAAGAATATTCCTGAAAAAATAGCAACTGGAACAAGCCTAAAAATATGAAAAACTTTAGATCACAAAAGTCCCCCACAAATATTAAACGTTTGCAAAAGCTCCCAGCATCGTTTCTTTCTTTGTGTTAACAGAAAAAAATAAATAGTTTTTACGCAAATAGCACTTAATAATTGAAACAAAATTTCTTCTTCTTCTTCTTCTTCTTCTTCTTTATAATTTCAGCCCAAAGAAGGAGATAAAGCCACTAAGAAGTTGTTGATGGTAACAAAAATTGAGAAAAAATGTTAATAAGGCGAGAGAACAATAAAAGCCCGCATTCAAGAATATAGAAGATGATTGACGTGGCATTTAAATTTTTGAAAATGTCGTTGACAAGAAGGTAAGAAGCCGGAAGTGAGTTCCACAAGCAAGAAGTACAAGAGAAGAAACAGTTAGCATAAAAATTATGGTTACAGCTAGTAACAATAAAATGGTAAACTTGTAACAGTAAAATTCAAATTCATGGTGAGACATAACAGCCAATCTAGTACTGCGTTTAAATTTTGGGAAGTCGAGGTAGCAAAGAGGAAATCTCTTCAGAACAATTGCCATGAAGATATTTAAAGAAAATGCATAGGGAAGCAATGTTATGGCGGTTGAAAGGTTTTTGGAGCTGAGATTCCATATCAAGACCGATAATAACACAGAAAATAAGTAATATTTTTTATTTAAATACCTAATATTTTAAATAAAATAATATAATTTACTTAATATATTTTAATGTAAACGATAATATTTTCATACTTATTATAAAACCCAGGTTGTGTGTGTGTGTGTGTGTGTGTGTGTGTGTGTGTGTGTGTGTGTGTCTGTACGTTTATATATTGGATCGGATTTCCTACATTTTTCAACCGATTTCAACAAAACTTCACAGGACTACGTAAAATTATCTTGCGGTGGTTCTGGCAGCGCCAAAAATTAGAAAAACACAATTGTTTTTGCACGAAATCAATTTGAAAACACGATTAAGAGGCATCGCGAGAATGAAAGGGGGACAACTCATATCGATTTATACTTATTATAAAACCCAGGTTGTTTGTGTGTGTGTGTGTTCGTTTATATATGGGATCGGATTTCCTTCATTTTTCAACTGATTTCAACAAAACTTCCCTTTTTCTTTTTTGGCAGGTAGTGTTTCTTATTGTCTTGCACACTTTTTTCTTTATTTTTACATTCAGAATGCTTTAAAAATACTGTTACATCCCCGGGCAACGCCGGGCTCTACTGCTAGTAATAAATAAGAGTTGCAGGAATTTCTGGCATTTTTATGTTAAATTTTTCATCGTCTGTTAAAACATTTCTCAATTATTTAAACGTCTGAACTTGTTTTCCATATGTGTTAATTTGTGTAATTATTAATTAATGTTTATTAACCAGGTTTCTTACAACCGCAGCAGAGTCAGAGTCATTCAAATATGGGTTCTTCGAATTGGAGGCATCGTGCTCAAGAGAAATTAATTTTCTTTTAATGTTGTAATAGAAAGAGGCGTAATAGCATAGTGTCTTCTCAATGGACATATTCAGCCTATACAGCGAGGTGATTTTGAGAGAACTAGGGACAAGGCAGGTGCGTACTACCCCCGAAGCCCTGGGGGCGGACAAAACCTGATTGGGGGCATCGAGCCGTGTTTTGTAACCCTTGCTATCTTATCAACATTTGCTTTTATCTACATACATTTATATACGTTAAAATTTAAACTAAGCACAACTGACTAAAGGATGAAAAATTTTCGCGTCATTTTTTTCGTCCAAATTCGTGAATTTGTTCTGCTTATGCTAAGTGTCGAAAAGACATTATATCAAACACAATATATTGGGCACCTCGAGGCGGTGTAATGGTTAACAAGCTTGTCTCGCTAGAACAATTGCGAGTGTGTTCGATCCTCATTGGGTACCCCATACTTTCGGCCTTGTGCCACATCTGACCAATTGCTATAAAACTCAATATTTTTTTTATCTATAATGTTGAGTATGTTAAATTATTGAAATTTTTAAGAAGAAAAATTTCAACTTGCTGTAAAACATTGATGATCTATTTAAGATGGAATGGTGTATTATGTCTTCCATTTGAATATAGGTACATTGTATTTATTTTCAATATTTTTAGTTGAATTGTTCACCCATATTGCATGGCATACATGTCCCCATTAGAAATTAAACTATATATATATATATATATATATATATATATATATATATATATATATATATAGGTCTGCTCTACGGTTGTATTGAGCTCTTTTAGTTAGTTGTTTACTCGTGTCGGGGTTTTTCTTTGGGCTTTAAACCTGTATCTGTGCGATTTTTTTTCGACAGACTTTCATGTTTCTAGCTCTTTCTTTTTTAAAACCTTTTTCCTTCGTCATTGATTTGATTATTAGCAAATCAAAATTCAAAGGTTTTTCGAAACGAGTATAGTTATATATATATATATATATATATATATATATATATATATATATATATATATATATATGTGTGTGTGTGTGTGTGTGTAGTTGTTTTTTTATTATTGCTAAATATTGTGTTAAATCTTTCTAGCACAGATAAATGCAGATGTACAATTAAGATTTGAATTTACAATTACAGTTAGCTATGACCCGACGTAAAATGGAGCGAATCATGCTTGGCACCACCTTACGTGACATGAAGAGCAACGAATGGTTTGAACAGCAGACAGGAGTGAAAGGTATAACCAAGAGCATCAAGAAAGGCAAATATAGATATCCCGGACGCAGGGCACCACGACGCGGTGAAATGTTTAGCAAGCTTGTTTCGCTAAAATAATTACGACTGAGTAGAGAGTTCGATGAATGTAGATTTGAGATAGGAAAACAAATCTATTAATTCTTGATTTATATAAGGTATTTGTTGATTTTAAGTGGCATACATAGTGAATGAAGTTTTGCTCTTCAAAAGGCAAGAAACTTGCGCTATGGTAAACTTGTCCACGGTAAAGGAGCTATTCTAGTCAGGCATGAATGCAAACAAAATCTTCGTATTAGATATTTTACGCTAAGTGATTTTTTCTCACGATTTTAGAGTAGCTTTGTCCAAAAAAGAATGAAGACCATTTATTTCCTATAAAATATGTCCAGGATGGTGCCCAGTACTGCAATATTCGACTACGGTAAGCCTATTAGTATCGCTTAGAAGATTGGGGTGCTTCCTAAAAGAGCTATATGAAAAAATCTGGTTTTGCACTTTTGGCATTGTGACACATCTAAGCTACGCTTAGAAAATCGCTGAACAGTTTGGCATGGTGCAGTGGATGCAAGCTCGTCTCGCGAAATCAGTTAAGAGAGAGTAGAGAGTTCGATCCTCAATGGATGTCCCATCTTTTCGGGCTTATGTCCTATCTGGGCTATTAGGTTGGTGCAAAAATAATGACGTAATAATGTCGTTTTTTGACGTATTTTTTAACGTCAAAAAACATTATTACGTCATTAGTCGAAAATCATTTTTGAGCATCCCGACGTGGTGTAATGGTTAACAAGTTTCTCTCGTTAGAACAATTACGACTGAGTAGTGAGTTCGATCCTCAATGAGTGTCCAATCTTTTAGGCCGTGTGTCACATCTAAGCTACGCTATGAAAATCAATTTTGGGCATTCCAAGGTGGTGTAATGGTTAACAAGTTTCTCTCGTTAGAACAATTACGACTGAGTAGTGAGTTCGGCCTTCATTTAGTGTCCAATCCCTTTGGGTCCATCTCAGCTACGCTTCAAAATTCATCTTTGGGCATTCCGATTGAGTAGTGAGTTCGATTAATGTAGATTTGAGATAGGAAAACAAATCTATTAAATTAAGTTTGTCTCGCTAGAGTAGTGAGTTCGATCCTCACGCAATGCCACCATCATTTTGGCCTTGTACCACATCTAAACTACGCTTAGAAAATCGCCATCCCCCACCAGCCAACAGAATATCTTTCTGTTATCAACGAGCTGATTGGGACACGTTCGTGAGGTTTCTTGAAATTAAGTTTTTAATCATCCTGTTCAAAAATGCGCCTCTGACATCTCCTCCTGGGTGAAAGCCAGCATCGATGCTTCCATTCTAACACGGAAATCACGCTCATCGTCATGGTTCTCACCTCCATGCTCGCCCGCTATAGCCCAAAGGAATCACTTTTTTTTGGCTCTACCAGAGCGACAAGTCTGATTGCAATAGACGTCTCTTTGTCGAATGTTCGTAATGAGTGCAAACGTGTTCTCAAAGAAGTGAAGTTGGTGTTTGCTGGAACATTGAAACCTAAACGTATAAAGCTGAATGCTTTGCTCGGAAATTCTCTTCCAAATCAACACGCGACTCATTTGGAATACTCACACCTGATTTGCCCCATCAAACAGAGGCTCTACTGAATGATATGCGTATAACCTCGTCATTAGTCTCAGACATCATTTCTAAATTAGACTTTCCATAAGGCAAGCAGTGGTGACGGGATCTCAGCCGTCATCATAAAAAAAAATGTTCTCTCAATCAAGTCCCAGTTCTCTCCAAATGCTCCAACGACTGCTTGGCTGCTTTCCATCTTGTTGGGAGTTCTCCTCTGTAGTTCCTGTTTTTAAAAACTCTTGAGAACATTCTGACTCCTCTAATTATCGGTCTATTCGCCTCTCACCGCTTATGGCAAAGTGTTCGAGGCTTTAATCAATGCTGAAGTGGTTAAGCATATTAATTCTCAAGACCGCCTCTCTGACAAACAATATGGCTTCTGTTTCACCAGGTCTACCGCTAATGTGT